ACGTACAGAATTAGGGGCCGTTCACACAGGACGCGTTCTTGTGTTCAAAAACAGCTATAGACTGGAACTGAATGCAGACGTGTTTTTCCGAGCTGAACTATTTTTAATTTGACACTCCATCTTAAAAACCCAACGCTAGTGACGTGAGATGCTGAAAATATTTTCTATGCATTATCTTTCATCAGCATATAGGCCAGCATAAAAATAAACTTGCTTTCTATCCCAGATCCACATTTTTCTGCTTTCCTGTGGAAAATCTTCCAGAATAGCACATTAGAATATTACTTGTGCTATTTCTGCAGTATGCATGTTGTGTGACATAGTATGCAAATTTCCAGTAAGCCTGGATTACACAAGTGACCTTTTACTTTTGCCAAAATGTGCATTATTAAACAGAACGTGTGAAATACTGTATCACACAATGCAATGCTCTTGACTTGAATTTCGCCTGTAAAAATGCAACCTGAAGTAGTAAAAGTTACAGTCTCTTTCTTGAATCATTCTTTGATCAAAGCATGAAAAGTACTGAGGTCATGTGACAACAATGTAGCATGCTACTTTCTGAATATTAGGCCTATATAATATTTTTGTCTTGTTTTCCAGTAAAATATCTAAACATTCTTAAATCAAGATACATTTACTTAAAAAATCAAAATGACAAAAGATATTAAGTCTTGTTTTCCGGAAAAAAAAAGATCAACATTAAGTGAGTTTAAGCTTAGAACAAGACAAAAATCTGCAAGTGGGGCCAAATAAATATAAATGTAATTCAACGGGAAAACAAGTTCATTTTTCTTACCCTCCTTTTTTTTCCTTATTCTTCTTGTTTTAAGCATAAATCCACTTAATTTTGATACATTTTTCAGAAAACAAGACTTATTATCTAATGTCATTTTGCATTCAGATTTTTGTACTGGAAAACAAGACAAAAACACTAACAAAGAAAATCTTTTAAAAATAGCAGGCAGAGTATAACGTGCATTAAGCAGTATGCTAGTATTCCTGTGGCTGTTTGGAAAAGCATACTACCATAAAAATCTTTTTCAGCAGTGTATGTGTGTAGTATGCAAATTATCTGTATTTTTAGTCATTTTACAGTATGATGTGCCACATGCATTAATCAATATGCTACTATTACATTTTGAACATTTCAGCCAATGACTGATGACCGCACACACAGGTCTGTCATTATCGCCTAGACTCCACCCACTTACAGCATCACTGCTCGCATCACAATGAGGGCGTATAGACCCCAAAACCACCCAGACAGTAAATTCCCCTGGAGATCTTTAATCAGCGCAGGGTGGGAAGCTTGAGTGCTTTTGGTTCAACAGCAAGGAAACCCACCGTTAATTTGTAATTACTTGGAGCTGTTGAAAACGTAAACGGTTAAACTAAGGGTTAACAGATTAAATTAATTCACAAGCTTAATCTTTTCAGAAACTGGCTACATTTCATGAAATCTGTCTAGAACCTAAGAGGGTCATATTTTACCCCAAAGTATGATTTAAAATATTTTTTATGTTATCCCCCCAAAAAAATGCATTGTGATTTTTACTTTCTTTCATGACAGTAAAGCACATTTTTTCCCAAATAATCATTCCTGTAATGTGAAAAAAAATAATGACATATTATTTACATTTTAAAGTACATTATGGTAGTATTTGTAATAGTGAATTTAATGCATTCTTTAATAAAAATAGAAACATTGTATCAGCATTATTTTCATTACTGTATTAACATGATTTTTTTTTACAGTAATAAAAATTTGGAATCGGAAAGGAAATGTTTGTGCTTATCATAATAGAAAGAATGCAAAAATATCCTAATTTAAATGCAAAATTAAAAATATCTCTATTATTTTTGGGTGAAATATTATTTACACAAAAAATTATTGAGATATTCATCTTCTGTAAGTGCAAACTTAACGCTAGCTAGAGCACTGAATCCAGCTCAACATAAGCACATAATACATAGCTAACCTATATTTATGGTTTTTATCAGGGTCAGAATTAATCACCTGGCCTCATTCACCAGAGAAAATTTTAGTCAACATACACACAAGATTTCCATATAATCCCATCTGATCCGAGCTCATAAAGAGGAAAAGAAACATAAAGCCCTTGTGCAACAGTCACACACTACTGATGTACGATCTGCGAACAAATCATTCTTTCAAACAGATTCGTTTTAAAAAATTCTGAATCACATAGCATTTGAAAAATCAATAGACTGCATGAGACAAATATATATATTATTGGGAACAATACTGATGTAGGTGTACGTCTTTAAAAATTACTTTCAGTAATGTTGGAACAATAGCAGCACCACATTATACATTTACACACACACACACACACACACACACACACATACAAAAAACATTTTACTGCCTCTATTTTAAGTCATAGGAGCAACCGAAGCATTTATAATTAACTTTTAAAATTAAATTTTTTAAATAAATATACCTTTATTTATGTTGATTAAAATTCAATTATATATTATTTTTTATAAGTATTTAAATACACATTTTATATTAAAATTCCCCTTTTTCAGTCAAAAGACAATATCCAATGTCTCTAGTCTAAAACGCTGTGAATGTATTATTTTTATTACTGTGAATGTTTTAAATGATGTGAATGTGAAATTATTTTTAATTAATTTAAGATATCATTTATTGATATATGTGACCCTGGACCACAAAACCAGTCATATAAGGGTCAATTGTTTAGAGATTTATACAGGATTTATACAGCAATAAGCTTTCCATTGATGTATGGTTTGTTATGATAGGGCAATATTTGGTCGAGATACAACTATTTGAAAATCTGGAATCTGAGGGTGCAAAAAAATCTAAATATTGAGAAAATCGCCTTTAAAGTTATCCAAATGAAGTTCTTAGCAATGCATATTACTAATCAAAAATGAAGTTTTAATATGTTTACAGTAGGAAATTTACAAAATATCTTCATGGAACATGATCTTTACTTAATATCCTAATGATTTTTGGCATAAAAGAAAAATCAATAATGTTGACCCATACAATGTATTTTTGGCTATTGCTACAAATATACCCCAGCGACTTAAGACTGTAACCGAATTTGCAGAGACTGGTTTTGTGCTCCAGGGTCACATATTTATAGTGATATAAAAATCAAAGGGATGAATCTGTAAAGAAGTAAAAAAAAATATTGGGAACAATACTGATGTTATTAAAGGTATAATAATTTCAGTAATGTTATAACAACAGAAATACCTCATTAAACATTTACCCAAAAATATACACATATTGAAACATTTTATTGCCTCTATTTGAAGTCATGCATCAGAGCAGTGTATCGGATAACTGGTTCATCTCATCTACCACATCACACAGAGGCAGCACGGGGCAAAGACAGAGGTGGGTATGGGCTGTTTTTATGGTCTCTGGCTCTGGTTCACCAGCAGGGCATCTCGGGGTGATGTAATACATATCCACAGGGGATACTGTACACCCCTGACAGATGAACCACCATGAACCTCAGGGGCCGCCCTGGTCACATGACCCCCGAGACCTACCGCACGCGACTGCCTCCGGCTGCTCTGTTGTGATTTCAGAACACAGATGGACGCTTATGCTCTTCATCATGTTTAATTGACTGAAGAAATGGGAGAAAGCGCATTACTCCACGCCTCAAATCAATCCAGCCATTACAGCTCTCAGCAGATTATGAGGCCGTTAGAACCAGAAAAAAACGTATTAGCTCCATTAGCTCCTTCAACACGTGGAATAAAGCAGCATTCAACAAACATGCCATTCCTGAGATGCCACAGAGGCGTTTCACACAAGTTATGGAGCTGTTTGACATTGCCTCTATGTTTCTGTAACAGATGGACTATTATACAAACAAATAATGTATAATTAATACAGATAATTATTTATACATCTGATATCTAATCAATATCTAAAAATGTCTAATTATTTAGCAGGAAGAAATGTTAGAAAATGTATAATCTTTTATAATTAAAAGAAAATAATTATTCTATTATTTATATTTATTCAAAATTAATAATGTTACGTGTTGTTAAAAATGTTTAAATACACATTTTATAATATGATTTATATTTGTTTTCCACTTTTTAAGTCAAAATGTCTCTCAAATGCTGTGAATGTTTATAATGTGATCATTTTAAATTATTTTAATATCAAAAAATATATAGTACCTCACACACCTAAATTTGTAGCGAGTTCATTGAATTAACGTTTAAAATAAACCAAAAGAGAGAAAAATGTTGCATATTAAAATTATTCAGTTAACAAGCAATTTTCAAATTTTTTTTATTATAATTATTTTTATTAAAAGGAGATCTACTATCCTTGACGACAGACATGTCAGCACCTAAGTTTGTTTTCTTGATGAATAACAGATTACACACACACACACAAAAAACCTCTGGGCAAAAATGATCTCATTGCATTTCATATGGATATGATTCATCAAAATGGCCGTGGCAGGCATTAAAACTAGCAGAAAGTCCTGAGCAAGCATGCTCTGCATTACACAAATGGGGAGAAGAGAAAAGGAGAGGAGTTTTTATTGACATATGTGACATATCATGAAAATCTGACTTTTCCAGGTTTTAAGTGCTATAATCAGGTCTCCGGTGCATCTACCAACCAAGGAAACGTGAAAAAGATTAACCCAGTAACTTTGTTTTGGTAAGCCTTTTTCTGCAAGCGTCTGAGAAAACGAGCACGTCGGATTTCGCTCCCTTGGTGACGTGGCAAAGGGATCTCATTATAATATTACCGCCCCTTAATCTGTAAGTTTCCACCCACGGCACCGTCATTGTGATTTCGCAAGCGACAACGGTGTACCAGCTCTAATTAATAGGACCCCTTTAAGCTCATCAAAGCACCAACCACAAGCTACCACGACAACAAGCTCCATGGCAACCTAGTTTTCCTGCCACCTTCTCTAAATCCCAGCTGTAAAAGACAGAAGGAAAAGCATGGTTACCTCCATCGCCAGAGCGGCGGTCTGCTGGTCGTAGTGGTTGAGGAGGTTGGGCATGAAGGTGGTGTTGTAGGGAAGATCCTGGCACATTCGGAGGCCGATTGACTCGCAGGTGAACATGCTGTGACTGCCCACCGAACCCATGTGGATGCCCAGGCTGCTCGTGAACTGGGACAGGACCAGCAGAGCAGCCAAGAGCCACATCCTTCGCAAAGGTAAATCCACAATCTGCCCCATGCTTGAATGGCAGAACACAGCGGGACAGGACTGAGAGGCCGAACGCAAGCACAAGGGTTTATTCTCTACACAGAACACATAGTGTGTAAGGTATCGACCGCTTCCATCTTCTTCCTGTTCTGTCCTCATGGATACCTGATGTTGACCGGCGTCTCGGGTCAGTGCACGCTTTGATCAGACCCTTCGACAGTCTTATGCATCCTCTCACATTCATACAAGACTACAGAAGCTGCCTTTGATCAGGGTGGTCTTCAATGGATCCTTCAAACGGGGCTTTAGGACGTGGCTACGACTGATACTGGATACCTATAATGACATATATTAAAAGACAAATTTAAAACAAGGATATTTGTAAAATAAAATACAGACACCACCAGACTCATCTGAAGCCAGTGTGCAATAAACAAATGAGCCATTTGAACTGGTTAACTTCATTAGTTTTGTGTCTGGCAAATCAAGCTTATGTAAAGCCCAACTTGTAAACAGTTACTGTAGCAGGAAAGACCATTTAAACAGCTGTTATAACAGCGATAAACCAAAACCAACAATCCACTATCTAGGTGAACCTCACAAAAACCCTTCAAGAACGTGTCGGGTCAGATTTCAACTCTAAAATCAAATGAAGATGTATAAAGTTATATTTTGCATAAAGAAAATCAAACCTATTTTAGGAGCCTTATGATTTTTTTGTGACAATTGCATTACTGCAAAAAAAAAAAAAATAATAATTAAATAAATGCATTAGTGCATGTGAAAGAAAATACTGAAATGCTAAAGTATTAAATAAAATATAAAATTTGAAAAAAAATCATACAATATGGCAGTATCTGTTTTACTGAAGGAAACAGTAACCACCTGACATTAAAAATCCGAATAAAGTCTTCAGGAATTGTCTAATATGAAAACACATTAATAGACATGTCAAATGAAATTATATTCTTAATTTCATTAAAGGGTGTAGCACACCTACGCCCACCTTACATTGCATTATACATATTAAAATATTCTGATATTTCATGCAGGACTGCAGATTCAGCAGTGTAATTTAATTAATGCTTATTTTAATAAAAAATCACTGCATCCAGACTTTCATTACTGTATTACTGTAATGAGAACAAGATTTTCTTGTGTTACAGTATTGTGGATTTTAGGGAGAAAAGTGCTTATATGTCATGAAAATAATGTTTAAAAAGTGTAATGTAAAAAAATATCATCGTAAATACTTCATTTTCATAATGAAGAAAATATTATATTATATTATAAATCAGAAATATTATTTCTGATTTTGTTTTCTTTAATATTGATCTTAAATATGACCTTTCTTCATGAGTTAACATGATTAATCCACGTTGGATTAATTCGTGCATTTAAAACAGAAATGCATAATATATATATATTACATTACATTGCATTATACATATTAAAATATTCTGATATTTCATGCAGGACTGCAGATTCAGCAGTGTAATACATATGATGGGGTTCCTCATGTCTGAACATTATTCGACATGCAATTCCAGACAGGAACAGCAGACCATATGCATGTATGATTATATGAAATAAAGGATAAAAACACATTTATGTGGGTTAAAACACATGAACAGTGCGTGCAATATAATGCATGTAAAACTTTACCTTTCCCTGGCAAAGCTCCTCTGGTTTTCTCCATATGCCACAATACAGCGTGTCTCTCGGTGTAGACTTACGCAGCAGGTTCGATTTCAGCACCTACAGTCATGTAACACACTGAAGTCAGCGCTGCAGTTTCCCTCAGACATCAGCACACTGGCTCCGGCTGCTTATTTGCATAGAGAGACTGATGGATACAAAAATCGTAAACTACCCGAAACGAGCACATTAGGAGCGTCACGGACGGCTGGTGGCTTTGCATATTCACAGCGAAACTCCCGATTCGCCCCACCTTCAGCTGTTTCCTAGGAGATATACACCAGTTTTCCTCCAGGGGGCGCTTGGTGGCTCAAAAGCACAATCCGCCATTGAGCCGCATTCAAATCCAACGACTTTTTTTTGTCTTGTTAGAGAAGTTTATGCAATAAAATGTGTAATCGTTTATATTAAGGATTAGTATCTGCATATAAATGTAAAAAAAATTACTATAAAATTAGTTGAAATACCATCTTACGGTAATCACATTCGACTTTGATTAGTCTAGGCTTACCAGCGCTGAGTAAAGTAACAGGTACCACGTGACCAAAACCGCTCTGCGTGTTACCTCGACTGCGGTCCATACAATAATTTACACCTGCATAACAGTACTCAGAAACTTCAACTACTGTTTAATTGAAAATACACAGTCTGAGAGTCTAAAATATAATAATTATTGTTTAGCCTCCCGGCCGCGATCACCGCCCATTTTATGACGAGATTCACAGTAATTTCCCTTTTATCAGTTTATTGCATTTCTATGCTCCATCCCCAAGACCAACTTTTAAGGACTGCGCATGTCCCTGGGAACTCGTTTCAAACTCTGGAGCAGAGCAAGGGTGCATATTTAATGAATTAATTTCAAAACTAGTAAGTGAGTGAATTCATTTATAACTAAATTCTGTTTTATATATTTTAAATGTATACATAGGCTACATACAGTTCAGCCTTGTTTTATGCATATAATATAACAAACGCTCAATAAAAGCAGTGACATAAAAAGGTAATGAGAAAATATTTGTGTATACAACAACATATAACCACATATATTAGGCTACTGGTTTATATAATAAAATTCTCTCAAACTAAATTTCACAGTGACCTTAGCAAGCAGGGGAGCAGGTTAGTTAATGATGTATTTTTCTCATTATCTTTATAAAATGATTAAGTAATAAACAAAGCTGGGAGTCTGATAGCTAGGGTTTTGTCTCTGATGCTCTGAGTGAACAGCAGATGTCCAGCAATCCAACAGGTGCAGTGAAGTGAATGAGGTCAGCTTTACCATAACACTGAGAACACAACATCAACTAACATGTGGAATTAAACAGAGCCAGCGTGAGATCACAGTGTTTTTCCATTCTAACAAAGCGTCAGTGAAAGTAGGTCTTCAGAAAATGTTCATCCACCTCAGGGGGTCAACTAACTTTTGTTTGAATGGTTGAGCTTTTTAAAACTACATTTTTAATTATAATTTTATTGCAGTTTAGACAACTGCTCATAAAACTACTAAAAACTATACTATAGCTGAATACTATATACTGAACTATAGCAAATATGTCATTTCTTTCTTGGTTAAATATAGCTTATGATGCGTTCCTTTCACTCAACTGTGTCTCTGTTGTTTCTCACAGAAAGCTGTTTCATTTCACGTAGACTGACTGAAATATCAGAGTCAACCCCAAATCCAACATAGAGGGGTTCAGTGAATGTGTGTAAGTGTGTGAGTGTGTGTGAGTAAGAGACACTGTAGAAGGACAGAGTGCCGGCCGACCAGTCCAGATACACTCCTACTCTGTTAGAGAATAAAGGGACAGATATATATGTGATCTTATGACTGTGCCTGACAGATAAAGTGTTATTAAAACATCTAAGACACCAGGATTTTTCATTGTATCCAAACCTACAGTCTTTTCTCCATCCTTTCCACTGATTCCTTTATATGTCACTGCTATATTAACCCCCCCAGCCACTCCATTCAGCCTCCCAGTAACAGCGTCCAGTCAAGCTCTCTCTACACAGAACCTGTTGACATTCAAATCTGTCTGGATGATCAGAATACGGCTGCTCTTCTGTCACACATGTCATCTTTCTGCTCCTCTCAGACAGAATCAGACCAGTGTGTGCTGTGTTTAAATCCAGTGTGAGATCACATGCATCTGAACAAAGAAGAGAGATTATAACATTTGTAACACAAAAAATTAATTGTTAGGGTGTATGTGTGTGTGACCTACATTTCTGTGGTCCTGGTATAATCTTGCACTTTCCTCCATGATCCACACTATAAAAACAAGATGTCACACTCAATTTACATAATGAAGAAAGTGAAATAGCACACCTACAAAAAAAACCCTGCTCTCACAAAACCAAAAGAAAACCCCATACAGAGTCCTAATTAGACACAATGCAAACAACCATGCATACAGTATACAATGGTAAATGTTTGTATATCTGTACCATGATATAAGAAATATGAAAGTCATAAATATGGAATGATATGAAGGTAAAAAAAAAAACATTCATAGAAGTTTCATTTTTGATTGAAGTAAACAGCATTCAATGATAAGCCACAACATTAAAACCACTGACAGGTGAAGTAAATAACATTAATTATATTGTTACAATGGCACTGGTAAAGAGGTAGGATATATTATACAAGCAAGTCTATATTAGCAAGTGAACAGTCAGTTCTTGAATTTCATGTGTTGGAAGCAGAAAAAAATGTGAAAGTGAAAAGAGTGACTTTGACATGGTCAAATAGTGATGGCTAGACAACCAGGTCAGAACATCTCCAAAACGGCAAGTCTTGTAGGGTGTTCCTGGTATGCAGTGGTTAGTACCTATCAAAAGTGGGGCAAGGAAGGACAACCGTGACCCTGAGTCAGGGTCAGAGGCACCCAAGGTTCATGCATGCATGTGGGGAGCAAAGGCTGTCCCATCTGGTTCGATCACAGAAGAGCTACTGTAACTCAAATTGCTGAAAATCTTAATACTGGTCATGATAGAAAGGTGTCAGAACACACAGTGCATTGTAATTTGCTGCGTAGCCGAGTGCTGAGTGCCCATGGTAACCCCTATCCACCACCAAATGCACCAACAATGGGCAAATGAGTGTCAGAACTGGACCATGGAGCAATGGAAGAAGGTTTCCAGCTGAGAACGTACATGTCAACTCATTTGTTACCCATGAAGAAATACTGGCTGCTCTATAAAGACTGGAGATTATCTTAAACTGATTCACACTAAGGAGGGTTCAGATTCTTTTAACTCTGCTTTAAATAACATAATTCGTTGATTCAATGTAGCAATTTCTATCCACAGATCACTGATTACAGGTTCAGTGTTTTACTCTTTAATTTGGAATCTTCATTTTTATATGCAAGTGAACCCTTACATCTGCTTTTCTTACCTCAGTATGTTGAGTTGACAGTGTGAACTCCTCAGTCCATCAGAGAGCAGCTTCACTCCTGAATCGTGCAGATCATTGTGACTCACGTCCAGCTCTCTCAGTGAGTTTGATGATTGTAGAAATGAAGACAAACTTTCACAGCACTGACTAGTGAGATTACAGCCATAAACACAAGAGACAATCATGAAAGAGGTGAGGAAGAATCCAAGAATAACAGCAAAAGATGTTCGGAAACCTCTACAAACTGCTTTGTTCATGCTTCCACTATCAGAAGATAAAAATGAAAATGGTATTCATGGAAGACAACATGAAGGAAAACACTGCTGCCAAAAAAATATAGAGGCAAGTCTCACATTTACCCAAGACTACCTGGATGTTACATTAACACCTCTTGGAAAATGTTCTGTTGACAATGAACCAGACAGAGAGCATATTTAATTTCATGAGCATGTGAAGCTTTATCTGTTTTTCTTACCTCAGTATGTTGAGGTGACAGTGTGAACTCTTCAGTCCATCAGACAGCAGCTTCACTCTTGAATCCTGCAGATCATTGTTACTCAGCTCCAGCTCTCTCAGTGAGTTTGATGATTGTAGAAATGAAGACAAACTTTCACAACACTGATCAGTGAGATAACAGTTAGCAAGTCTGTAACACAGGATGAAATATGGTTTATCAGCAACATCAATTTCGTGCTAAAACACCCGTTACAGTAAAGTGAAGCAGGAAACATCAAAAGTAGATAATATTACTCTAGCTGACATTTAACTATTATATTGTTATAGAACAACATAATACATTATATAAAATGATATATAATTATATAATGTGCTGGTCCTGAGTCTGGGAACACAAAATGCCTGTTTAATTCTAAGGGTCAGAAAAATATTGGGAAAATTCATCCATCCAAACAGCTTGTCTTATGTATGGTTACAGGAATTCTGGAGCCTTCTGTCATAATAAACTTTTTTTTTTTTTTTGGTACAAAAGCTGAAGCGAATATAGTACACAGTGGATCTCATGAAGTAACTAAATGACTTACAATTTAACTAAACTTTACTGAAGTTCTGCACAAGCTCATGACAAAATTATTGTCATGTTAAAGAAAACAGTGTCATGATTTAATCTCAAATTACATAAATTAATACTCACAGAGCTTTTCTGCAGTTCAGCACAGCTGGTATCAGTCTCCTTCTACCCTCATCTGATGTGTTGTATTTCTTCAGATCAAACTCATCCAGCACCTCCTCTGATATCTGAAGCATGTAGGCTATCGTTGAGCAGTGAGACGGAGAGAGTTGACTCACTGAGCGATTCTCTGATTTCACAAACTCCTGAATCTCTCTGTACAGAGTCTGATGCTTCATTTCCAGCAGACAGAGGAACAGATTGATGCATCTGTCAGCTGAGAGATTTTCATCACCCTTGATTTTGTCTAATGTACTGTGTGATTTTCTTGATGGAGCTGAGCTGTTGCAGTAGTGACGTCTATGCCGCTCTCAATCAGGTCCTCCTCATAGAACATCACATTGCCCTTCATCAGCTGATTGAAGGCCAGTTCAGCAAGTCTTGTAATTACGTCTCTGTTGGACTGCAGGAGTTTCTATGGATTTCTCTCATCATACTTCTGATTCCTTATGTTGATCTGAGTCAGCAGGAAGTGGATGTACATTTCAGTCAGAGTTTGAGGGATTTTTGCACTGTGATGTTTCAGGAGGTTTTGAAGCACAGAGGCTGAGATCCAGCAGAAGACGGGAATGTGACACATGATGTGGAGGCTTCTTGATTTTCTAATGTGTGAGATTATTCTGCTGG